AAAATGAGTGTTCACTGACTGATATTGAACTCCTTCATAGTGTAGTTGAAGAAATGGAGATCACTGAAGCAGAAGAACACATTGAGGCGTATAAAACAAAGTTAAAGGAATTCTGCAAGTCACTCTCTATCAATCTTTGTTTGAAGGAAAGATTTGCTTCCATTCCTCATCTTCAATGTGAAACAGTCACACTTGTATTTGATTGGGAGCCTGATGAGCATATGTTGGAAGATATCAAGGATGTCCTTGCAAAAGTGTCTGGTAAATTGCTAAAGATTGACTATATAAAACGAAGCACTTCAATATCTGTCACTTGCTCCTTTCCTTTCTCTGATGTTGGGTTTACTGTATTGAGGATGATAGAGAATATTCATATACTAATGGGACAAGGATTAAAGAAACTGACTATTGGTAACTTAACATTATGGAGGAGACAAGATGTTAAACAAAAGGTACATAAAAGTTGAATATTGTTTTACGAATATTGTATTTTGTAGGAACTAAAAGAAAAGGATCAAGACTCACTACATTATACTGATGTCAGCTTCTCAAATCATTCTTATTGTAGTTTTAATTGCTATGCTACAATGTGTATGATGTAATGTGTAAATTTAATTGTATTCACAGGTTATTTCTTACATTATACTGAAAGAAGCTGAATATAAACTAAGAGATGCTATAAGTAGCAAAGAGAAGGTTTGTCATACTATACCGGACTGTGCAATGCAATTTTTTACCTAATGTATAGGATACAATTGAATTGAAACAAGAATTATCAATTGCTCAAATATCTGAGGTTAGGGCCTTAATTTTTAACAACCTGGGGGCGTAGCCCCCAGGTCGTTCCTATAATTGATTTCACCCACGTGCGATGTTTGTATATATATATATATAATATATATTTGTATGTCCACGCTTACATTTCTTCTATACATGTTGTATTGGAGAAATAACAAAATTCATAAGCCTTAGCAACCACCTGCACATGCTCTTTTACGTAAGTGGGTGTGGTCACGGCAAACAAAATGGTGGCTTACACACAGGACCAAGGGGTCTGCAACTCCTTTTTAAGGTATACGAGATTAAGAGATTAACCAGATTTTTGAGATTATCAGAGATTATTTGGAAGATTACCAGAGATTTTTTTTGAGATTTCCAATAATTTTTTTTTGGATTATCAGAGATTTTTAGAGATTATTAATTAATTAATTACTTTATAACTTTTAATATTCATTAATTAAAGTTAGTTAACCTTTATAACATTTAATAATTATTATTTAAGGTTAATTAATTTTAATAAACTCTGGATACTAGCAGATATGGTGAGATTATTTTGAGGTTTTTAAAGATTATCAAGGATTTTTTGGGATTTCCAGAGATTACTGTAGATTTTAAAAAGATTAACAGATTATTATAGATTATTTTCAAGGGTGTACGGGATTATTTGGAGTTGCGGACCCCTCACATAGGACAAAGTTATAAGCTTTCTAAGAGCAAGAAAACATAGAGATACAGTCTCAAGGCCTTTCTTGAAGGATTAGAAGGTAGGGAAATCCTCTCTAAGTTTTAATAAGAACCCAGCTGTACTTGCAAGGTGGTGAAATCAATTATAGGAATGTTTTTACACTGTTACGCTTGTTTTGCATAATTAAGCATGACTCTTGGTAGAGTGTGTTAATTATCAGTTACCATATTTCACAAAAATATAATTTGTTATAGGAAAAATCATTGTCTGCTTATG